CTATATCTATACTATTATTAAATGTGCAAATAGTTTTAGTGTTTCAGTATTTCAGAATTTATTTATTTATATAAAATTCTAAAAATTACCTAATAAAATCAATCACAATAAAATTATTAAATGTGCAAAGAGTTTAGTGTTTCAGTATTTATTTATTTATATAAAAAACATATATAAAACTCTAAAAATTATCTAATAAAATTAATCACAATAAAATATTTATTAATTAATATAAAAAGAATAGTTATTTTTTATGGATAATTATCACAAAATAAACTATTCGATCTAGTTATGATTATGTCATTATCTTAGTAATTCAAAAAGCCTATAAATAGAGGCATGAAGAAAAGAGGAAGGGGTACAGAAATTGTGAATTCTAGAAATCCAGAATTCCAGAGTAAAATACAAAAGTTATGTCAAAGAGTTTCAATATTTATTTATTTATATAAAAAAAATATTTATTAATTGATATAAAAAGAATTTTTATATATACTATTATTAAATGTGCAAAGAGTTTCCGTATTTATTTATTTATATGAAAAAGTATTTATTAATTGATATGAAAATAGTTTATATATATATATATATAAACTCTATAAAACTCTAAAATCTACCTAATAAAATTCAAATTAACCAATTTATCTATTTATTATTATGAATTTTTTAATAAAAAAAATCTAATTTGACAAGAATTATTAATATAAAAAATATTTATTAATTGATATATAAAATAAAATAATTTTTCTAAAACTCTACCACAAATTAGTTTTTATTATGAGTTTCTTAATAAAATGAAATCTAAAACGACAAAGATATATTTAAAGAAAATAAAATAATTTCTATAAAATTCTATCACAAATTAATTTCAATAAAACTCTATCACACTAGATAAAGATATATTTACACTAGATAAATATATATTTAAAGAGTTTCTATAAAACTCTAATACAAATTACCTATTTTATTTTTAATTAAACTTTATCACACTAGACAAAAATATATTTAAAGAGTTTCTATAAAACTCTAATACAAATTACCTATTTATCTATTTATTATGAGTTTTTTAATAAAAAAGTAATTTAATTAGAATAAAATATTTAATAATTGATATAAAAAGAATAGTTATTTTTTATGGATAATTATCATAATATAATGGATCCGGCCCAGTTATAATTATGTTATTATCATGAGATGACGCATGCCATTATCCTATTAATCCAAGAAGCTTATAAATATAGGTACGTAGGAAGGAGGAAAGGTTAAAGAAATTGAGAATTATAAAAATTCAGAATTCCAGAGTAAAATACAGAAATTTTGCCAAAGAGTTTCAGTATTTATTTATTTATATAAAAAAATATTTATTAATTGATATAAAAAGTTTTTATCTATACTATTATTAAATATGCAAAAAAGTTTCAGTATTTCAGTATTTTTTTATTCATATAAAAAATATTTATTAATTGATATGAAAGAGTTTTTATTAAAAAAAAAAAAACTCTATAAAACTCTAAAATCTACCTAATAAAATTCAAATTAACCTATTTATCTATTTATTATTATGAATTTTTTAATAAAAGAAAATTTAATTAGACAAGAATTATTAATATAAAATATATTTATTAATTGATATATAAAATAAAATAATTTTTCTAAAACTCGACCACGAATTAGCTTTTCTTATGAATTTCTTAATAAAATGAAATCTAATTATATAACGACATATTTAAAGAAAACAAAATAATTTGTATAAAACTCTATCACAAATTACTTATTTTATTTTCAATAAAACTTCATCACATCAGACAAAGATATATTTAAAGAGTTTTTATAAAAGTTTAACACAAATTACCTATTTATCTATTTATTATGAGTTTTTTTAAGAAAAAGAAATTTAATTAGACAAGTATTATTAATATAAAAATTTATTTATTAATTGATATAAAAAGAGGTTTTGAAAGAGTTTATATCAAATTTTAACACAAATTACTTATTTATCTATTTATTATAAGTTTTTTAATAATAAAAAAATGAAAATTTGAAAGAAATGGAAAGATAAGACAAGTAGAAGTGGCACACCAAAAGGAGGGACAATTTTGCTTTAGCTGTTTGATCAATTAGGACTTGGAATTTAGGAGGTTCAAAGTAAGGAAGAGAATGAATATGGAGTGATTTGATCTTTATACATCTAAGCTAAGCAATAAAAAGATCAAATTTCAAAAGGGACAACAAAGTCAAAAAGAAGAGGAAAATGCTCCTTTCTTTAATAAAAAGCAGAGTTGGAAATTGCATTTTATATTATGAAACCAACAAATCCTTGCTGTTTGCCATCTGGCATAACTAGTAAAATTTGTTCCTCACTAGTGATTTTTCATATTTTTCTCAAGAAAATCTAATTAGACAAGAATTATTAATATAAAACATATTTATTAATTGATATAAAAAGACTCTAACACAAATTATTTATTTATTATGCTTTTTTTAAAAAAAATAAAATCTAATTAGACAAGAATTATTAATATAAAAAATATTTTTAATTGATATAAAAAATAAAATAAATTTTCTAAAACTCTAACTTTTCTTATGAGTTGTTGTTGTTTTTTTTTTTTTTTTTTTTAATAAAAGGTAATCCAATTAAACAAGAATATATATATATATATATATATATATATATATATATATATATATCACAATTATCTAGGATTACAAATGAATCAAGCTGTTCATGAACAACTCGAGCTCGTTCGTTAAGCAAATGAACCGAGTATGAATCTAATTTTTGGACTCGTTTAATAAACGAGCCACACCCGAGTAATGTTGGACTCGACTTATATAAGCGCGTACATATATATATATATGTGTGCATACTATTTACAATTTATTATTTTTTTTGTATAATAATAAAGCCAAAGGGGCCACTCACGTAAATCATGATTATCTTATTCATATACATACATATATATATATATATATATATATATATATACATAAATCATTATTATCTTATTCATATACATACATATGAATAAGATAATCATAAATGTATGTATATGATTATCATGATTTATGTATGTACATACATAAATGTATGTACATTCATATATGTATGTATATGAATAAGATAATCATGATTTACGTGAGTGGCTCCTTTGGCTTTATTATTATATATATATATGTATGTATATGAATAAGATAATCATGATTTACGTGTGTGGCCCCTTTGGCTTTTTATATATATATATATATATATATATATATATATATGTATGTATATGAATAAGATAATCATGATTTACGTGAGTGGCCCCTTTGGCTTTATTATTATACAAAAAAATAATAAATTGTAAATAGTATGCACACATCGGATTCTTTTGCATTCTTGGTATTAGCCGTTGGATTAGTTAGTTAAACAAGTTCTTACATTTACAAGGAAACCCTAGTTTTGTACAGCCCCAACATGTCGCATCAACACTTCTCTTTCCACTCTCGCGCTGGCTGTACACGGTCTCCAACAACAGATCTATATCTCTCAAAATTTTCTCCCTTGGCCCCCTTGTCCTGATGATGTCTCTGAATTCCATTTTAGTTTTGGTGGCATCATTATCACCGTTGAACACACAAATGCTGATGAAATGATTTTCTTCAAATCGATGAAAAAATATGTAATCAATTAATCATGCAGCGATGTTTGTGACTCTATGTATCCAAAGCTTTTCTTTTAATTTTTTAGTTTGGAAGACGAGCTCGTATTGAGCCAAGTCCGTTGAAATTCTGACTAATCAATCCCGAGTAAGTAAAGCCTGGTTAGTTAAGCCTGAGAAAGTAAAGCTCAGTTCGTTTCATTCGATTAATTCGCAGCCCTACATTTGTCTTTTGAAAAAAAAAAAAAAAACTTGGTATACTTTGGTCTAGGCTGGCCTCAATTTCTTAACTGGATCATTTTCTTTATCTATTTAAATTTTAGACAGTGAGCTTTGAAATTTTAAAGGTAGAAATGAATTTTTAGAAATTTAAATTTTATTTAATTTGAGTAAAGACAATATTGATTTCATTACTTCATTTGAATCTTATCAAATAATTATAATTAGTTTAACTTTGTTTGCTTAGGACAAAAAAAAGCATCTTTTTGTTTTTTTGTTTTCCAGCACAGTTTGAGGCCAATCACAAAACTGTGACAGGTATCAAAGCATCTTTCTTTTTCAGCACATACTTATCGATAAAGAATAAAACCTCCACCCACTTGTCCAATCAAATACTGCAATACAAATTCTCTGTATATTATTATTTTTTATCATATTTGTCACGAAATTCCCTTAAAACAATATTGATATTTGTAAGTATTGTGTTTGGTTGGTTTAAGTTGAGTTGCTCTCATGTTTTGAGTTTTGCATACTTCTCCTTTCCTCTAACAATTAATTATTTATCACTAATAAAAAAAAAATATTGATACTTAACTTCCTTAAATCTACAAAGCATAGTAGTAGTACACAAGTTATATTATCAAGTCACCACTATTAAAATATAGTAAAAAAAAAAAAGGGTCAAAGTGCTATAAAATAAAATTATATTATATGATAAAAAATGATAATTTAATTTTGTCAAATGAAGTTAAAAAAAAAAATATAAAATTTTATCTAATTGGTGTGAATTACGAATTTTTATTTCAAGTTATATTTTAATCATCTTATTTTAAATAGGTCACTGACAAGTTTGGCATAATAAAAAATACTTTATTGCTCCTTGTATTTTAATGACCATGGTCATCATTAACTAATTTAATTAAATTTTGATATATATAGTGGACTTTTGTTCTAAAATATTTCATTACTATTTAAGTCGCAGCAAACTTATCAGGCTCATCCGAAAAAAAATAAAAAAATAAAAAAATAAAAAATAAATCTGGTTAGCAAACAGAGCCTAATGAATAACGACCTCACTGTAAAACTACTCTTTTTATAATTATTATTTTAGTTTACTTTATTTGTTCGCATTCTTGATGATTGCACTTCGCATTTCGTTATAAAGTCGCGGTCAGAGGCCGGACTTTGGCGATACATAGATATTCATATAGTATATTCGTATCTGTGTAAAACTTTACTCTCCTGTGGATCTCTTCAGAAATTTAGGGCTTATCTTCTCTCTGACCAAAGATGAGTCTATCTGTTGTTCAAGTAATTTTACTCAACTCTCTTCTTTCTCTTTCAAGTATGGTGTTATTTTTTGGATTTTTCTGCTGATTATTATCAATCAGGAGTATTTAATTTTTAATTTTTATTTTATTTTTTTGGGTGGTGATTAGGGTTTCACCAAGTCCCTAGCCATGACTGTGCTGTCCGAGATCGGTGACAAGACCTTCTTTGCGGCAGCGGTTAGTGAATGGATTGTATTGTAATCCAATGCGTGTGGTTGTCGTATTTGTTGATCGTCTTGGGTGTGATTTTGTTGTAGTATTGAAGTTAGTGTTCTGAATTTGTGAAAAATGTTCGTTTTAATCTGTAGAAATGTGATTCAGAATGCTATTCGGAGAATAAGTATCAATATATAAAGTGGGCGGGGGAGAATATTAAGGTTCCGTTTTACATCACTAAAATTTGAGCATTCCACAATCTCACTCTCTCTTTTTTTTTCTTTCTTCTTCATGCTAGATTTGTCTGTTCCTAACTTCTGGTTAATTTCCTACAATTAAGCATTTTGGGAACATGTTAAAACACTGGAGAAATAAAATGTTAGTAAATTTAGAAGATAACTGGGAGATATATATATATCTATACACACATACTACATGCTATAGGCACGAATTCTTTGACTGCATAGTTACGGTGGACATATTTCTAAATGGCCCTTGTTATGGTTGGTCAAAAGTGCTAGCTGGGAAGGATGCCTTTGGGAAAAAGTTCTTTTTTATTTTTTGCTTTAAATACTAGTCATTTCGATCTAGAATTCCAAGTTAGTTAGCCCAATAGTTTACAAAAGTATTATACTATTCAAGATGTCAATTGAACCCCACCTGGGATCTCATTTCACCAGCCAATTAAATTTAAAAAGTTCAGTTGGTATGGGATCTCACTTCACCAGCCAATTAAATTTAAAAAGTTTAGTTGGTATGTAAGTTTGGTCTATAGCACAACTTATTTTCCCCCCTAAGCTTACAAAACCCCTTTTTGGGCATTTCCATTGGGAATTGAACCCCCACACAGTTTATTTTCAATCTCTACCTTGATCCACTTGGCTACATCTGCCTCCGTTGTCTATACTAGGGAATTAAAACTCACGCGGCTTGACCGACTCTGCCAAGTTTTAATGAAATCGACTGTGATCGCTACCTATTTGGGCTGATATTATGCCATTATGGCGTGGCGAGAATCGCGACCAATTCGGTCATGATGGTCGCAACAACACCATTTTAGCAATCCATCTATTTGAATTTGTTATTCTTCCAACTTTTGTCATTTTCTATTTTCCATGTGAGATTATCAACCTCCAAACAGCCTCTAAACGCATTACACAACATCACTCTTCAAATTTAAAAGAAAGAAAGAAGATTTGACTGTAGATTTTCAATAAAAGCTTTCTAATTTTACTTATATTAGGTAGAATTGTGATTTTTTATTATATTTTTCTATTTTTACCTAGATTTAACATGAACTATTATTTGGTTTTAAATATATGATACTTGTTTGTGTTTGGATCTTGCTACGAGTCTCTTAATCCACAAATGTTTCTAAAGTATCCATATTTTTTGAAAGGGGCTAAGAGATTTTCATTCATTCACCATTAAATTATATATTTTTGTTTTGTGTTTTAAACATGATTTTATGTCTAATTTTTGGATTTCTTTTATTTTTAAATTTAACAACCTAATTATTTGAATTTTTATTTTCATTATTTTAAAATGTATTTGTACAAGGATATTGTTCAAATATCTGTGTATTATAAGTCAATACTTTATAATATACATATATTAGTCTACATTAATCTGGTTTTTATTAAAAAAAAAGGTGAATAATAAAGTGAATAAAAATTTGATAATCCTTACAATTGAGAAGAATGTTGGGAATTGTAAAATTAAGAAATAAATAAAAACTTGATACTATCTATATTAGTCTACACAAATTGTCTTTGATAAAAATATATAAAAAGGAGAACTAAAATAATTAAAAGTTATATATATTAAATTAAATCCATTAAGCAAATATTAGTAAACTTTTACTGCTAACAATGCCTTAAAATCTAGAAAGAAAAGAGGGGGGATGTATTAGTCATGCATGATATTTCTTCTTCTTATTTTTTTCATTATTATTTTTTTCTAACTAAGCAAGACAATATACATGAGTGCAAGAAGAAGAAAATTTTAAGGAAAAAAAAAAGAAAAGCAAAGAAGAAGTAAAAAAAAAAAAGAGAACAAAATAATTAGGATTTGATTGAAGAAAGGGATTGCAAATTTATTTGGAGAGAATTAAAAAAAAAAAAAAAAAATTGAAGTAGAAGAAGTAGAGTAAGAAGGAAAAGAAAGAAAGAAATAAAGAGATTTTAGGAAAAAAATAATTTTAGGGGGGCATTATGTAAAAATTATATACATATATTCATATAAATAAATAAAAATTTAATGGGCCACCATAGGGAAGGTATTTTCACCTACTATGCATTCACTCACCAAACTAGGGTTTCTAAATATGCATTCACATCACTATTATTGTTAGGTTACATTGCATAAATGTGTTGATCTTCAAAAGGGTAATTTGAATGCACATAAGTTTCTTATTGAAAAAGCTAAGTGTAGGGGCTTTGATCGATCGAGGCGTCGATCGACAAGACTAGGTTCCATTGATATAACCTGATATGGATTGATCCAACTCTGTGGACGGCAATTTTCAAATTGAATTTAAACATTTAAAACCCTATTCTTTTCAACCTGAAACTTTATATAAAGACCTCAAAGTTTTCAGAAACATATAGAAGCATATAGAGATGTATCTATTTTTACATAATATAATTAATTTTTTCTTCTATTATGTTTTTCTTTTTTCAATATACAAATATTAGGCAAAAAACTACAACTTTATCTTCCATCTTGAATGTAACACAACAACTCAACATTGAGGGAGAACTTGAGAAGATACGCAAATTACAAATTGATATGGGATGAAAGCATGTCTCTGTAACCACGGGCCAGTAGTTTAGCGGTATCACCCTCTTACCTCCCAAAGGGAGATTAGGGGTTCAAGTTTAAGTAGAGACATGTCTGTGTGAGTACCAACTATGAAAAGAAGAAGAAGCATGACTCTGTATCATAAATCAACTCATAATAACCATAGTTCTTTTTCTTTGTATATATGCGAGTAAAAGACATGTGCATTGCACATGATTTGAACCTTTACAAAAGTATAGGAAATTAACTTTCTAACCAACGTAGTAATTTGATGATCATATAAATGAATTCAAAAATCATAATATATAACATGAAATAGAAATCTAATAGTCATATCAAATAGCTAAAATAATGAATGCTAATTATGATCTTTATACACATAATTATAAAAGATAGTGCTTTAAAAATGGTTAAAAAATAAATCAAATTTGAAATCATTGGACATTCAAAATTGAGGGCAACAACACTGATTACATTTTGTTATAGAATGGTTCACTGATCATTTGGGATGGGCAGTAGATTAAGAAACTCAAATAGAGAATTCTATGCAATCAAAGCTTTGAAATAAGGCTTTTAAACTGTATCGCATAATTGGATACTCACTTTCTTTTTCGTATAAAACTTTGAGGTTTAATTTTTTGAAATGGATGACATTGTACAACTTGAATTGAATGAGCTAAAAATTTCAATATAGTAACATATATTTTTAAGCATGAATCATACGTAGTAGATTAAAGAAAACTCAAATGTCATATGTCCCTAGATATATATTTGAACTAATAATCAACTATTTGGATCAAAATTTAGATTCAGACATGTCTTTTAAAGACCACATTTTCTTGAACGCATATTGAGAAGTGATGAAGGGATTGAGAGTTGAATTGATTATACAGATTTTTGGGAGATCTGTAATGAAAAAAATTATAAAAAAATTACAAGGAATTAATTTCATCTGATTCCTTTTCTAACTATTCTCCAAAGTTAAAACATGCAGAGAAAACCATACCACGGCTTTCAAAATCACTCTCACTTTTAAAGCTTCACTTGGTTGCTAGAAAATCTATATAAAAATAAATAGAATTTGAGGACTAAAACATACTCCTATCATTTCCATTGCCAAAAGTTGATAGTCTCAAGTTTGTTGTAAGGGACATTTCTTCTAAAGGCCACATTCTCTCGAACGCATATTGAGAAGTAATTAAGGTCTTGAGAGTTGAATTGATCAAACAGATTTTTGGGAGATCTGTAATGAAAAAAATTATAAAAAAATTACAAGGAATTAATTTCATCTGATCCCTTTTCTAACTATTGTCCAAAGTTAAAACATGCAGAGAAAACCATATGACAGCTTTCAAAATCACTCTCACTTTTAAAGCTTCACTTGGTTGCTAGAAAATGTATATAAAAATAAATAGAATTTGAGGACTAAAACATACTCCTATCATTTCCATTGCCAAAAGTTAATAGTCTCATGTTTGTTGTAAGAGCATCCATGTATATCTAAGTGGCCGAACTCAGTAGTGTTACTTTTTAAATCTCAAGGGTTTGTTTACTTTAAAAAAAAAAAAAAAACTAAGGGTGCTTGAGCGGAAAAGTCTACTACTGTACTCATTTGTTTGACAATAGGTTAAGTTCATGGGGATATCAAAATCATGCTTCAGCAGAAAAGTCCTCTAATGTTTTTATCTTATGCTGCCGATCTTTTCTTGTATTTCCTTCAATTTTGTCCCATGAACAAAATCATTCTCTTTGCATAATCACTTGAAAAATTGATTCCATGAGTTTATCCGACAATTTGTTGCGCTTGGTTTTAGATCTTGGCAATGCGGCATCCTCGGAAACTTGTCTTGTCAGGCTGCATGGCAGCTTTGATTGTAAGCTTTTTTGCAACTTTTCCACTTAAGTTTATTTGGCTGTCGATCTCATCCCCAATATATTTAGTCCTTACAATCACAAAATGTTATCTGATTTCTAGGTGATGACTATTCTCTCTGTTCTTGTTGGCTGGGCTGCTCCAAATCTGGTAAGATTTGTTTAGTATTGGTCTCTTATATGCCTATAGAGGACCTGATTCTGATCGCTTAGCGGCTCTTTTACACATCTGTTTTTATATGATATTAATTTTTTATCAGAAAATACATATATGTTTAATATGCTTCACTTTTGTTGAACATGTTAGTTGGTATAAAGATGCAAGAGAGCTGATTTACAATGCTGCTGAAAATTAGTGCTTTTATTTATTTATTTCTTTAATTATTCTACATTCCTTAAGGTCACTGTCCTTTAGTATGCTAGGAAGAATGGAAGACAGCTTGATTTTTTCTTGACACTTTGCTCTTTATAAATGGGACACTGCTGTGTTATGAAATGCAGTAAAATCCTGTCAATTAAAGATGAAGATTCTGGCCACTAAAAGAGGAAGGAAGAAAGGAATAAAGTAAGATTCTACCCACTAGTTGCATCCCAAAACTCTAGTTAAATCCTGTAGTAGTGTGCTGTATTCATTACAGTTCAATTGGAATTCATATCACTGCCTTGCAAAGCTGATTGTCTGTGCTGGAACAACTTGGTTTAGTTTTCCTGACTGGATTAATACCTAGACGTGCTTTTAATAATTATGATACACAATCCCGAGCAATATATAAGTTGGCTGAAAGATCTTTTCTGCCTGAATGTTGATGGGATTGACACAAACTCAAGTGGTCTGAGATACTCCTTATGATAAAACAGGGCATAAAGGTTCATAAAACTGCTGCATGCAAATGCTGGAGATGAAAATAGTGGCACTCAAGTTTCCGGACCCCACGTTGCTCCAGTGTAAACAGAACCCAATTTGACAGTGTTGAGTGTAGCCTTTAGATTTCCCTTTGGTATGCTGAATATTTTATTTAAGATCAAATGCATTCACTAATCACTAATTGTGATGGGTATATTGCATTTGACACTAGGAGTGGCTTGCATCCATGCCCCAAGCAGTTTGGGTTCTTAAACACCTTAATTGGTTATAGACTTCAGGACTCATCACAAGATGGGTTTAGTGAAAATAGGCTATGTAACAGCCCACTCCACCACATGGTATGATATTGTCCGCTTTGGGTCCGAGCCCGCATGGTTTTGTTCTTGGGTTTTACCCTTGGAGATGGATCTAGCACATATAAGCACGTCAGCTTCACCTTAGTCAGTCGATGTGGGATTGTGCAACCTGTAGCTCGCCTATCGTGGTAGCTCGCCTAGTGTCTCTTGCACCTGCCCACATAGGTTGCCACAATAATCGCTTTAAGGGTGATGACTCTTATGATCACCTTTTTCTTAGCTGTGAATTTGCTCAGGGGGTGTGATCATGGTTTGGTGAGGTGTGTGGTTGGTCAGTGCATCATGAGGTTTCTACCTTCTGGGAGATGGTCAATTGGTTTGCTTCTATTAAAGGCTCCTCTTTGAGATCAAAGTCCTACAGATTGCCTTCACTGTTATCTTTTGGACACTGCTATCCTTTGGAGTATCTGGTCTGAAAGAAACTGTACACTTCTGTTTTTTTGATAAGTAAGAATTGTATTAAGAGCCTTTAAAAGGGGAACGCATCCCTCAAAAGCTACACAAGGCCAAATAGGGCTATTAGACCCTGAAAGAGTCCAAAAAATCGACAAGTTCCTCCCAAGGATTTACAATTTCTCCCTAGAACCCAACAAAAAAGGGTACTTAGAATTGAGAATTTCAACCACCCAATATGATTCTCTTTTCCTTCAAAGGATCTCCTATTTCTTTCAAGCCAAAGACATCACCAGACGCACAAAGGCTTAACCCTCCAAAAGTCATGAGCTTGGGCCCCCACTATACAACCTCTCCAAGCCTCTGGAAGACCTGGGCATAACCCATTGAACCCCAAACAAGCCCAACAACAAAGTCCAGCAATCCTGAGCATCCGAACAATGCAAAAAAAACTGTAGACTTCATGTTTCAGTACCAAATTCTGTTGCTTCTACTGCTATCAATGCTTGCTGTGAAACTCTTCAATCTGTCCGATTGAGGCTTCAAGACCGCGAGAGAGAGAGAGAGAGAGCAGGTTTTCAACTCAAATTTCGAGATCAGGTCCTTTCTGTGTTTTTCTTAGTTTCAAATACACACAATCTGATCCTTCACGAGAGGATTAGTGTTTGTGTATTTTTCGATCGCTGAGCAAGTGTTCAACAAATTTTCATAGAAGAATGATTAGAATACATCAGTCCATCAAACGATTCTTCACCGTTTAGTGAGTTGTCCACTACTACCGGTAAAAATAGACTTATCGAACGATTAATTGAGTTGACTGCTATGGTTTCGGTACCTTTTTCTTCACTAGAATGATGGGCTGCCCCGTTGTCATGAATTGGGTCGGTCATCTCAAGCATTGTCCCATTCTGAACTTTTTCTTTCATAATTTGATTAATAGTAGCTGAACTTTAAGGACTCAGGAGTCAAGGCACACGGTAGCCAGACTCAAAGGCACTGATTGGTGAGCCGCTTGAGTCTAAGGTGTAGTCAGCGTCTGGGACGCGTTCCCCTTTTGAGCGCTTTCTAATACAATTTTACTTGTCAAAAAAAAAGAAGAAGATGAAGAAAACAGCAAAAGAGGCCTGTTCACCCCCTTCTAGGTCTGTTATTTCATATGATAATTCAACTTGGATTTTTGCGTGAACCGCTCTCATTAGTTTATTATGGACTGATCCGAATTCATTATGGTTCAATTTTGTCTGAACCTAGTCCTTGCCAGCTTGTATAGCTTGTGATTCAACTAATGATAAAATTGAGAAAGTAGTTACTTCTGTGACATTCAATTGAGTGATTTTCTGCGTAAAAATCTGGTGTCCATTTATATTACTTTACTGATTTATTTATATATGGTTTCCATGCACAGCTTATCTTGGATGAATTGATATAACTATAGATTGTTCTGTTAAACAACACCCACCCCCCGCCCCCCCCCCCCTGCCCCCCCCGGCCCCCGCCCCTGGGCGGCGTTCTAGATCTGTGGGCCTTGCGCAACTCTCTATGAGAGCTTTGGGTTCCGGTTCTAACGTTTGACGCACATTCGATCGCGAAACCCTAGGCTCTGATAGAGAGTTAGCACAAGGTTTGTGATCAAGATCTAGAGAGGAGGTGAATAGGTTTTGTCACTGTTTCAGCTAACTTTAATAGGTTTTGAATTTTAATCAAATTGGCACTAATTGTTTTTTGTATTAGGGACGCGTTCGGCGTTCCCCTTTTGAATGCTTTTCTAATCGATTATTACTTATCAAAAAAAAAAAAAAAAAAAAAAAAAAAAATCAAATTGGCACTAATCTAACTTAAATTAGAACAATATATAATCTATCAATCCATCATGCCGTGAACATTCCAATCATATAGATAAAGTAAAGCAATAGAAAGCATGCACAATGGACGCCAAGATTTTAATTTGGAAACTCCAAAAAGAAAAACTGCAATACCTAGTCCAGTCAGATCAAAATCTCTATATGAAAGAGATGTACAACTCTCAAAACCCCAAAACAGTTAGTTACATTGACACAGACTTATCCACCAAACTCACACTTTGAGTCTTCAAGCACAGTCCACTCTGTCAACAGCTTTGGCTCTTCAGACAGTCTGCTTCTTTAATAGCACTTTGGTCTCCAAACTAGTCATCCACCCAATATCTGAAGGTTGAGAATTTGTTGTCAACACATGTATTACTCAGCAATCTATATGCAGAATGATTGATGATCAAGAAATTAAAACTGTATGCACTCTGTATAGCAACGCAAGATAATACTCTATTGTATTCTGTGTATATATAGGTTTCCTGAAGTAGTTAAGTATTTATTATAAAAATAGAGAGGTAGAAGGATTAGGATTTTAGGGCTTTAAATCAAAAAGGAAACTGCTTTCCGGATGGGTCGATGGATCGACATGTGTTCAGTACCCCTCAATTGATCTGTTGATGGATCGAAGTTCCCTATACCCTTTATACATAGAAAATTTCAAATGGAGTAGTTTCCAAAAACACTTGATGCGTATCAAATAGGATTTTCAAATTAAAACATGGATTAACGAAACCCTAATTGATGAGGGCATGAACCCTAATTTGGTGAGTGTATATTCATGTCAAATTACCTTTGTACCCTTGGCTTTAAAGATTACCGTTTTGAACTCGGTTCTAACTTTACTTTTGATTTTACCCTTGGACAAGAGATAACTAATTTGACACTTACTTTTAAAAATCTAACTAAAAACTAAAATAAAATAAAATTACAGACTCTTCCTTTTATCATTAGATTTTCCAACCTAAGTCTTATTTACCTAACATTATCCTATATTCAAAATTGTTTGAATTGAGCTATCATCCTTGATTTATTCTTATCTGTTTTGTTTTACTATAACCTATTTTATAAATGCATTACTGTTGTGAATTATGCAGATTTCTCGTAAATGGACTCATCACATAACTACTTTGTTGTTTTTGGGATTTGGGCTATGGTCTCTATGGGATGCATTTAATAACGACGGGTAATGGTTTATTTCTTGCCTTCATTCCTACGTTTACTGTCTTTTGCGTAGACATTACATTAGTTCTCTGCATCTTAATCTTTCAATAGCATGTAATGTGCTTGTATTGGAGCCTAATTCTGTTTCACTCAACAGGGAGGATGATGAATTTGCCGAAGTTGAAGCGAAATTGGTTTGTCTGTTTTACCCCTTGATGTTTTACCTTTTATTGACCTGGAATCCTTTTTGATTTTACCTTTTTGGCATGACCAGGATGCTGATTGGAAAGCTAATACAGGAACAAACAAAGAGAGCAACAAGGTAAGGCAACATTATTGCAGCCTCTTGCATGAACTGTTGCGCCACCCACTTTCTCCTTCGATCCCGAGGATTTTTTATTTTGCCCTCTTTTCTCACTCCAAACACCCAATAGTGATGGAGCTAAGGAATATACCGTATCTGGGAGGCACATTGCACAGTAACAAATGCAAATTATCCCTACTACTTCACTAGCATCAGTGAGAAAAGTTATTTAGGAGTTAATATTTTATTTTGATCATGGTGTTGTGTTTTGAATGACTATTAATTGGAAGGGGCTTGAGGTTTTCAATAAATATTGGCCTGGAGTTGTAAAGACAATAACCATGGAAAAAATAAGAAATTCATGAAAAATTTGTGGTGGCAACATTAAAAATTATGTTCTTGAAAAATATACGTACAAAATCAAACTTAAAAAGAAGTTGAGCGGGACAAGGGGTCCCACTGGGCCTTTATCTGCTCCGTCCACACTTCCCCCACCTCTCTCTTCTCCCACTCTACAGCTGTTGCATGAGTATCAACCATGTAATGTTATAATATTATTATATATTCATCTTTTTTTACCATTATATAATAATTGTCTGCAAGAAACTTTGAGAGGAAACTTTACTTGCAATTACATGTTTAGATCTTGAGTCATTTTTAAATTTCTTTATTATGGTTACTAAAAGATGCATTTGTAGTTTTTATCCCTATAGAGTGCATTAGTGATAGTACAAGCTTCCTGGTTCTTATTGTATTTGTGGCTATATATCTATTCAATTACCTGGGTTAAGGCTTAGTTGAGTTGAATTGGGCAAAGGTTCACAGTTGTTTGCTATGTACATGTATACCACATTGTCAGAAATGGTGCTTAAAATCCTTCACTTTTATATTAGATCTATGATTGAATATTTCATTATTTCGTTTGAGTTTAATGGATCTCTGATGTAGGGAACATTAACCTATAGCATACTGCTTATGGGAAGAATGTCCTAGCTGTAGGATAGTGTTTATGGAAAGAAGAGAAGTTATTTACCACCAAAAAGAACAGAAAAAGAAAAAGAAAAGAAAAGAAATAAAAAAAGAAAAGAAAAGAGAAGCTACTCTGTGTGAATGATGCGAAGGCTAGGTCTGTAGTTTTACCCATTTTGTTCCTTGCACTACCCTCAAATAACAGAGACTAACACTTGGAAATGATTCTATGCACTTAAACCAACTAAAAAATGTAGCTAAAATAACTTAACAATTCTTTATAATATAAAAATATGAAAAGATGCAATTCTTAATCACTTAAGAATTTTGCTTACTAAAGAATTTAGGGAAAAAATAAATGAATTTTTATTTGCCGAATTCACAATTGTAGTTCTGTTGTGGCGCTAATGACTGTTTGTATTCATTAGTTGATAGAATAACAATGAGTTTGTCCATTGGGCTTATTGTTTATCCTTTTTTTTTTTTTTTGGCAAGTATTGTTTATCGTATTGTCAATCTCTGTTACATGGACTCCTGTTTTCCCGCATGTACTCGTGTCGACATGACATGGATATGGGTACATGATATGTGTCCGACACACGTATCCAAATTAGACATCCCGATCCTTCACATGGCATGATTGAAGAAGAATTAACTAAAGTTTAATAGCAGACATTTTTTTTCCTATCTATGAGATAGATGGAAACACTTCTTTTACAACATTCCATTTATTGTTATAAAACAACATTAAACGTTACAATATAATTAACATTTAATGCATAGTATGTATCTACATACTTGTATCCAACTTTTGGTTGCATTTCCCTGTATCCTAATCTTTAGATTCGAGTAGGTCCAACACTTAGAAACACACCTGCACCTGACACACTTATGCGAGTCCGGGTAACAAGTAATTTCACTATAGTGAAATCCATTCATTTTGCATTTAATCCCCAGCAGCTAAAAGTAGACTGCTGATTTTCACTTCAAATCTGCTGGAATTTGTTCTGAAATGGAAGCTTTAATTTTTTTACGTTTTTAGTGTTACACTAAATTTAAGTAATCAACTCCAAAAGCAAGTTTTTAGATGTCATTTGGAATATTAAACCAATTCAGTTTGTGTTGTGAATTAATTAAAGATGCAAGTTATTACTATATTCTGTAAACATAAATATTTTCTCAAAAATATGGTAGAGATGTGGTCGTGTATGAAACCTGGAATATCCTTGTTAGATGAGTGCTAATAAAAAATGATCATATGATACCGAAAACATAATGGAATTGTTTCAAAACTTTGATATAACACTATAGTGTGACTACTTGGGGATGTTCAAATGCGTAGCTCCTTACTTTCTTTAGTTTTTCTAGGAAGTTAAGCAAATAATTTTTTTATTAATTCCTTGTGGGAGAAATTGGGCCAATGATATTTGTGGATCTATTCAATGTACACGGAGACGGGTTTAGTATATATTAATGTCTCTAGGTTGTAATCCATTGTTCATTCTTTGATTGGCCTAATGGGATGTGAAACTTTCAGCCAGAATAGAATTGAACACCCTGAATTCTTCTGTGAAAATTTTGTTCATTGTTGTGCCAGAAGATCGTGACCTTCATTTCTTGGACTAACAATAGACAAACTTTGTTTGCTCGAGTCTCATGAACACTCTTGTTTTTCTTCCCTGGTATTCTTTTACTTAACCTTTCCTTTTTCATTAGGAATTTTTAATAGGTCTAGACTTTTAATTTGTAGAAGTTCTTCTCTTTCCTTTACCATTTTCCTCATTTAAATATTAACTTCTTATCAGAAAAACACTTTTAATTTCACTGGCCAAAAAAAAAAAAAAAAAACACACACACACACAAACACTTTTAATCGTGAGATAACTCACTTAAAACTCTCTAGGAAGGTTTCTAGTTGCAATTTTTGAAGAAACAGACCACAAAGTCCTTTAGTAATACATGAAGGTATTTGGTATTTAGTATTTAGGATCTTCTTTGATCCAGTTGTATTTTGTTACTAACTTGCACATAATATTCTACTAGAAACACTGAATAAGCCACATTAACCTCTGAGGTGCATCCTGGCTTGTTTTCAAGTTGCTTCCGGGCTGAAGATCAATATTGGGAAAAGTGAGATAGTTTAAGTTGGGGAGGTTGAGCATATCCATGAGTTAGCAGGTATATTGGGGTGTAGTGTTGGGTCGTTTCCGATCCCCTGCTTGGGGCTACCTTTGGGAACCACGACGAGGAGGGTTTCGGTTTGGGATCCGGTTGTTGAGCACTTTCAGAGGAGGCTTTTAGGGTGGAAGAAACAATACTTATCTAAAGGGGGAAAGCTTACCCTCAGTCCCTCATGAAAAGCACCCTTTCGAATCTTCCTACATATTTTATGTCCCTTTTTCCGGTGCCCATAATGGTGGTTCATAGACTGGACCAGATTCAACGAAATTTTCTGTGGGGAGGCATGGGAGACGAGTTCAAATACCACTTGGTCAATTTGGAGAGAGCTTGTACCCCAATTAGGAAAGGAGGGGGAAGATTATGGAGGGTGGATGTCTAGGAGATCACCACGGGCATGGGCTCTTGGAAGTTGATCTAGAAAGGATGGGATGAGTTCTCTAAACGGATCCGGTTCAGAGTTCGGAGTGGAAGTCATGTTAGCTTTTGGAAGTACCATTGGTGTGGGGACTTTGCTCTGGCTCGCAGGTTTCCTCGTCTTTTCAGGATCTCAGTGAATAAGCATACTGTGGTTGCCAACCATTATCGGCTTGATAATGGGAGGGCAACTTGGGATGTGCAGTTTCGTAGAGATTTCAATGATTGGGAGATTTTGGAGGTTACTGATTTTTTGGGGTTGATCTATAGGCAGGTGGTGGAGGGTGTGGGTATGGATGAGATGGTCTGGTTAGGCACCTCTAGAGGGGCGTTTGAGGTTAGGTCGTTCTACAGAAGCCTTGCAAAGTTTCCATGCATAATCTTTCCCTGGAAAGCTGTGTGGAAAACTAAAGCCCCGCTGAAGGTGGCCTTTTTCACTTGGACTGCTGCCCTTGGAAGTATCCTCACTCGACAATCTCAGAAGGAGATGTAAAACAGTGGTGAATTGGTTCCGCATGTGCAAGAATTCGGGAGAATCAGTGAACCATCTTTTGTTGCATTGCCCTGTGGCAAGGGATGTTTGGTCTGTGTTCTTGGTTGTTTTTTGGTGTGGATTGGGTTGTTTTAGGGTCCACGGTGGATATGTTAGAGGCTTGGAAAGGGTGTACAGTGGAGAGCCGAGTCAAAGATGCTTGGAGGGCCACTCCCCTTTGTATTTAGTGGGGTTTGTGGTGCTGGAGGAATAGGAGATCCTTCAAGGGTGAGGAGTACCCTATTTGGTCTCTCAAATTTAATATTCTGTCTTCTCTCTTTTTTTGGGTTAATGGGCGGAATTATATATCTATGGATATTCATTTGGACTTCGTAGATAGCTTGAAATTGTAGTGTAGCCTTGGGTGCCTTTTGTTCTTTGGGAATGCTCCCCTTTTGAGCACCTTTAATGAATTTTTATTTATCAAAAAAAAAAAAAAAAATTTGTTAAAAACTAATGATAACATGAAACTATGTGCTATATTTATTAATTCATTCATATTTTCTGGAAAAACACATTTCAATCAACATGCAGTTTATATGTTCTATTTCTTGAATCCTTCCATATTATCTGAATCATATCAACAATGTTTTCTTTGAAAAAGTTTGGCATGGTACAAATCTTTTTTTCAGCTTCCTAGAAGGCAAAGCATGTTTTGGTGGCTAACGGTCATTTATTTTCATTTATGGTTCCCTGTGTCATGAGAATCGAGTGTTGAATGTATATTGCTTTTTAGAAGATATAATTAAGTTTGGTGATTTAAGAATTCCAACCTTAATATGTTCTTCCAGGATGATGATGAATCGAAAAAGCAGAGGCGGCCATTTCTTAATCAGTTCTTCACACCCATCTTTTTGAAGGTTCTAATTCATGTAATTATTTAAATCCAGCTGATACACACTTAGAAATTACTTAATCAGATAAAACATGCTTGTCATGCAGGCATTTTCCATAACCTTTTTTGGTGAATGGGGAGACAAGAGCCAGGTTAGCATCCGAACAGGACTGTCAAATAGCTGCGTACATTCCGCATTACCATCATGTTGGTTCATTGCTATTTTATACTGAATGTAACTACCTATTTCAGCTTGCTACCATCGGTTTGGCTGCAGATGAGAACCCGTTTGGTGTTGTTCTTGGTGGAATCATGTAAGTTTAGAGTCTGTTGCCTCTTGGTTTTTTTTATTTGACATATTTTATTTTCTTAGAAGTTCTATCTATTTTATTGTTTTTGGTGGAATCATGTAAGTTTAGAGCTTGCTGCCTCTTGGTCCTTTTTATTTCACGTATTTTTATTTTTTTGAAGTTCTATCTATTTTGTTGTTCTTGTTGGAATCATGCAAGTCTAGAGCCCGCTGCCTCTTGGTCTTTTTTATTTGAAATATTCTATTTTTTAGAAGTTCTATCTATTTGCTTTTATGATTTTTAGCTATTAGACTCAAATGCTTTAAATCTATCCCTGCTATGTAGATTTCATGCCAGCGCTTCTTATTGTGCAATGGCTTTGGGGTTCTAAGTCTAGTTTGTTGCAACTTTTAATGATATTATCCTTTTCTCTGATGTGACAAAATAATCATATTTTACGAGGAAAAGCAAACACACTGAAAGTAACCTCTCTCTCTTTTACACGTGAAAATACACCCAAAAACACATATGGGGGATACTATATAGGCTGGCGCCTCATCCTGTACGGGACTTGTTTTTCCCAGTCAATTAATGCAAGCTATGGCATTAAATCGGACACTAGCGGATCTTTTGTCATCCAAGAGTTTCTAATTGAATGGGTTGAATTTTCTTAACTGTTACTTTACTGGCAGATTCCATTCCTCAAACCGTCCCAACAATTTGACAGGATAAATGTTTCTGCTCTTTCCTCCTGTGTAAACCAGGGCCAGCGGGAGAGCCCCCCTAAAATTTCAAATTCATGACCTAACAAAAAAAATAAATTCAAATTCATGACTTACCAAATAACTTTTTTTCATCTGTGTTTATTTAGGTTGCAATTTTCTCATTTTTTGAATTATATTTTTCTCAATATATATACTAAGACTAATATTATAACGAAATTATATTATGATTGATTTATAAAATTTTCAAAATTTAATTACGTAGTACTAGTTCGCCCCAAATCATAATTTTTGGCTCCGCTCCCGTTTCAAACAATATCAAGCTTTGTTATGATACTGCTTTCTTCCAGGTGTTGAAACATCATTCAGGTGTTGAATTTCTATACTAAATAATATTCATTTTCTTTACCTTTCTCAGAGGACAAGCTATTTGTACCACTGCTGCCGTGATGGGAGGAAAGAGCTTGGCATCTCAGATATCCGAGAGAATAGTAACTAACTGCACTTGCATCTGCTGTTTGATTACTGTATAATGGGTTATTTCCTCCTTTTTTTTTTTGTTGTTAGATATCTGTGACGACAAATTGTATTTATTTGCAGGTTGCACTCTTTGGTGGTGTTCTTTTCATTATTTTTGGAATCCAATCCTTCCTTGCCACGGTCGAGTCATGATGTTTGTAACATTGGTACGTATAATATTTACTGTCAATGAATTCATTAACCGCATCATTACTAACACTTCCCCGACCCCCTCCCCCGAAACTCATTCATAACACCTTTATTAGAATAGTGGGATGAAAATACACTTCTTTCCTTGCCTTTGTGGCAAATGGAAAGGTCACCCGTCCATGGGTAAAAATTAGATTATTTTGGACCGAATCCCAGTTAAATGTTAAGACTTGACCAGAAAGGCAACGTTGCCACATACGCTGAGGCTTGCCTTAACAAGCTCTTCCCCCGTACCTCTGGCTCACACAAACATACGTGAGAACGAACTTTGACACATAATACTAAGCGTTGCTTGCCGCTTTGAACTCTTAACAGTGACTCTTATCTCTGGTTGATTGGTTGCATGCGGAGAATGAAAGATGACAGTGAACTAAAAAACAATTACATTCGACAGAGTGAGATTTCTCTTCCATTTGCCAAATCCAAGGCCATTATGATCATTATAAAGAACAATAAAGTGGTCACAGAAAATTGATTCGCAAAGCTATAGTGTATTTTACATGATCAAGGCTTTGCCTTGTACATTAGTTAGCATCTTAGTTTCTTAAACTTTTTTGTTTTTTTTTTTAATTCATGTGTGACATATCCAGGCATCAATTCCATGAACACATTTTCACCATTTTTATTATTTCTCCGTGACGATTGGCATATTTTCATTTTGAAACATATTGTAATTATGTTTACCTAAGCATTCAAGTATTCAACTGACTAATGCTTTTATTAGTTCAAATCTATTAAATCCAATGAACAGGTGGAAATGTGTGTTTCTGAAAAAGAATCCAGAGCATAAAAATATAAGATGGATCATGTGGTTCTTTTGAATTCACCCAATTCACTTTTGATTATGTTTGTCGGATCAAGTGTACTCACAATGGTTGATGTGGTTCTTTTGAATTTCTTTTGTTTGGTTGATAAGAAAAACTGAAGGGAAAAAACCGGAAATGGGAAAAGGGTAAATAAAATAAGAGGAAAGAGCTTATTTGTTGTAAGTGAATTCTTTTGCTATGCCATGGACAATGTACTGAATTTGTAGTATCCTTTCCTAGAAAGCAAATTTGTAGAATGCATTTATTCATGTTTAACCAATGGGACTCACAACTTTTGGAAGTATCGAATTGGCGTCTTAGAATCAAAATTAGAGAAAATTTAGTTAAAAATTTCAACCAATCTTTCTTGAATTTCGCATCTAAGGCATTGATTCGTGCTTAGAGAAAACTACATTGATTTCTTTGAATTTGTCAAAATTATGTATTATTTTAATTATGTATTATTTTAAAATTTACAATTACTTTCATGTCAGAAACTTTGATAAATGGTGTTTGGAACTTGTTGATCTACTATTTATTTTCATGTTTTCTTAAGATTTCTAAATAAAAAGTTAAAATAAAATTTGTATTACAAGGATAATATCGGCATTTTGAAATTATAAGAGGTCATGGCCATTGCCATTTAATCAATAAGGGGAGAGTTTTGTCCAAGTTTAGCTGGATGACCGTTGGAGGTACCTCTAAAAGGGTGAGGCTTGAGTTTAAATGATGCACTCGGTTTCTCCTCTAGAGTTTGTAAATCATCGAGAGCCTGAAATGATAGGGACCTATTTGGTTCAGATTTATGTTGAAAAATCAGAAAAATGTACATAAATTTATTTGGTTGTCATTTTTTTTTTATTTTTTTTTTTAAAAAAAATATCCTGTCAGAGGGTAATTATTTAAAAACAAATTTCTGGTTTATGAGAATTATTTCAAAAAAAATTGGACCAAACAAGTCCTAAGTTTTTTTTTATTTTTTATTTTTTTTATTTTTATATGTATGTATGTATGTATAGAGGGGGGGTCCGTGTAATTTATTCTAATAAAAAATCATGGTATGGGAGGGATGAATTTATTTACTTTTAGTATTTACTTTCGTGATTCCGGTCTTCCATAATTGGTTCCGGCCTCTCATCTTCTCATACCCACACTCTGGTTCTCACAGCTCTTCTCAGACCCACACATCGTCGCAGGACTCTGTTTGCTGCGGTTGAATTTTGAAGCCGCCTCTTACCATCTCGGATCTACCCCCACACACTGTCTCAGATCTATCCCCACACACTGTCTCAGATCTATCCCCACACACTGTCTCAGATCTATCCCCACACACCGTCGTTATATATGCTCTAATCTATTAGTTAGCTATTAAAATATTCGATTCCTGTGAACTCTATTAGTCTATTGTGCTTTCTGTAACGGTATACTAAACAATTCAAGTTGTGTGATATTTTTGTTCTGAGCACAAAAGATTGACAATTTTATTATATATGCTCCATAGTTAACTATGATTGCTTTGGTTAATAAATTAGGGAGAACTCCGAGAATAGAAATCAAGTAATGACTAGGACTGAGATTGTGAGGAGTTTATATTTCATTTAATCTTCAGTTTGTCCGTTTAAAGTTGGTGATTGTTATTATGACAGCTTAGGTTCTTGATTCAAAGTGCCTCAACAGTCAAGATCCATTAGTACCTCCTATCAGTATTTCAGTATCAGACATTCAGACTATCAGTTGATTACTTGATTCGGTACATGGGATGTTCTCTGTATACAACACTTTAACAGAATACAACACTTTAACAGAATAAAAAACTGATAGTTTGAAATTCTAAATACTAAATTACTAAAATAAAATACTGAATTACAGAATTAGACTATTAGTGCACTTCCACATAAACTGAAAAAAAGAACTATGTTTTTTTATTTTATTTTTTATTATTATTATTATTATTATTTTTTTCATGCGTCTAAGTCTCTTTGACTCTTTACAGTTTACTCTTTATTATAAAATTAAATATAATATATATATATATATATATATATATATATATATATATATATAATTACGTTTCTGGTTCTTATCGGTTACCATGGTTACTAAATTCAAAACCGGAACCGGAACTGTATGCCCACGGCTCCTAAATTCGGAACTGGAACTGGAACCGGAACTGGGTGCCGGTTCAATTCTCATGATTCCACGGTTATTTTGTATACCCCTAGGTAAATGGCTATAGTACCCATTTATATGCGTGTGAGAGAGGAGATGGACGAAGGGTAATATGAAAATTTCAATTTATTTAGTACATAATATTAGCAAAATTCGTTATTGACTTGCGTTGACAGTAAGAGAAGGGAGGTTCGTGTAAGTTAGTTTCATTTTTTAGGGAGGTCCGAGTAATTTCTCAAACTATAAGAGAGATTCCTGTAATGATGACAAACTATAGGGGGAGGTCTGTGTAATTTATCCTTATTATTATTATTATTATTATTATTATTCTTTGGTACAAATATAATGGGTGTTTGATTTGATTTTCCTGATTGGACGATTCACATCCGAACATAGTTGTAGTCTGTAAGAGAGGCCAGATACCAACAACGTAATGAAACGTTTGGACTAGATTTGATACACTCCATTTGGAGGATTGCTTGCTACAAATTACAAAGACAGAGAAAAACGTAGAGAAATGAGTCCAGCAAACTCAATCATATATATATTTTGCTGAAACATTAATGATATCATATCATTGATCCATGTATATATATGTGATTGAGTTTGCTGAAACATTAATGATCGTTGATCCGTGTTTAAGAGTAGAACTCATAGGTGGAGGAATCAGCAATTATATTCCGCAACCCTCCGATTGCGGAGGCCAACATAACGAACAGTCCAATGAAGATGCATGCCTGAAATACACAATCATTTATATTCGCATTAGAAAAACTGCGCTAGTATACTACTAAGACTCGGGTATGTGTTGGTACAGGTATATGCCAAGCGTTGGACGTGCCAAATCTCCTAATAGGGACACATAAACAATGCTATAATATTCATTATTTAATGTTTTAAATTTATTTTCTAAATTATATAAACACTATGTAACATAAAAAAAAAAATAATAAACATTTCACTCATTTTAAAATAATAATGTTACAAAATTGAACTAATAGGTATGTAGGTGTATGTCCAGCCAAAGAATCACACACATACCCATGTTTGAATGTTGTGTTCAACCCAAACACTTCACTATACATGCTTTTAGGTGCATGGGCCGGCCAGACACGGGCCCAGTAAGGGCTCAGTGGGGTTAGCTGCCCCCACTGATTTTTTTTATTTATTTATAAAATTACCTATAAATTTTGTAAAAATCTTTAAAATGTCCCAACTTTTTGTGAACATCTTAAAAATACCTCCACTCAATTTTTAATGATATCTAACTTTATATTATTATTGTTTAAGGTCGTTCCTTCTAATACAATTTTATGAGTCCATCACCGTGTCTGACCAAAAGAGTAAGACACACGTAACTCTGTTCGAGTATTGTATGAGATTACTTCACATTCTTTTGAAGTGTCCATGTGTAAAAAACAAATATACATTGACAGGGAGAGTAGATGATGAGCTTTGGTAAAGTTTTGCTTACCCAATTAATATGCCATGAGATACTGAATCTCCTTGGTTTCTTAATTGTCAGCCATATAATACTTGGGAGCTGCAAAATACCCAATCTGGATTAATACTAATGCATCATGAAATTTTCAGTTTCATATAGTAGAAATTAATCATGTATGAATGAATGAGCTTACAAAATATGAAGTTGGCGAGAGACCAAATCCGCCAAAGAAACCAAGAAGGTCACCAAAGAAAGGGAAGGTGACACCGACGAACAGCGTGAAGGCTGTAAGAGATGAATTTCAGGCGATCATGAATACCACAAATTATAAAGTTCAGTCTCTTGAAATTTGTAAAATTAAGGCTTGGTTTGTTGCTCAGAAAGTTCTCAAAAACTCAAAAAAGAAAACTATTTTCAGAAAACTATAAAAGACTGTTATTTAAAAACATACAATTTTTTAACCGAGTTTTCAAAAAATAGTTCTTAGAAATCGTTACCCAAGTAGGTTTTTTTTTGGTTCAACTTTTAAAAATATAGAACATTGTTCTCAAAAAACAAAACCAAATAGGTTGCGTAATTCTGAATTAGTAACAAGAAGCTCACCAACATAAGCAGAACGAACAATGAGTCTTAGTGCAATTCCTGGTGGAAACTTCAATCTTTTCACCATTATCTTCTCCAGCATGTCAAACACTGGCATTGCATAAACCTGCAAAGCTTTTCTCCATTATAATCAATATCTATACAACATTAAGCTTGTGTGTGTATATATATAGGGTTTGTTTGGGAATCACAATTACTTTGTGCTTTTGCTTTGGCTGAAACAGAAGCAATATTTCTACTTTGGAGTGCGTTCAATCCTATTCGGAACCATGTTTGGTAATATATATTTGTTGCAAAATTTCTGGAAGCAAAAACATTGAAAACATGTTCGGTAAAAAAGATGTTGCGAGTTCGAAATTAAAATGGCTAGTTAAAAAGGTTATTTTAGATTTTGGCCTCTTTTTCAGAAGCGTTTTGGTACTATTCAAATCGCAGCAAGCGTTACCAAACACTGTTTGTGCTTTTGCTTCGTTACCGTACACTCTTCGAAACAAAAAACACGAAGGAGAAGCAGTTGCCAATCAGGGCCATGGTGTTTGTCATAATGGTGAAGCCAATGACATGGATGACCACCATTAAGTTAGCAGAGGCAATGAGCCATGAAAGTTTCTTGAGTGCCACTAACACATTATCTTCAACATCTTGGCCGAATGCCCAGTATCCGATAAAAGCCACCGGAAAATAGCATATTGCATTGATAA